GCGCGCCCGCCGCCGTCCGCAGCCCCGCCCCCTGGGTGCGTGCGCGCGCGCCGCCGGGGCCGCGCCTGCCGGGTACGCGCGCTCAGGGCCCGCCTCCGGCCTTGGAGGGTGGACCAGTGACTGCGCAGTCACTCCTCAGCCTTCCTGCTGGGTGCCAATCCCAGGCCTCGGAGTCGCCGCCGCCCTGGAACTCTTGCATCGTCTCCACCGATCCCAGATCGCCCGGCATTCCACTAGCGCTTCCTAAAGTCACTGAGTGCATCGGGACGAGTGGGTCAGCTCCGTCGTTTGTCCCGCGGTCCTGCAATTCTTCATCTGAGGGCTACCAGCCCCTCAGTCTCTTGTCTTTGACGCGTGGCTCACACCGCAGCAGTAACATATTACAGATGGAGATTTTTCTAGCCACACCCCAGACCCACTGAGTCAGAAACTCAGTGTGGGGCCAGTGAGTGTTGTTTAACAAGCCCTCCGGGATGTACCCCAAAGGTAGGACCCACTGACTGGCCCGCAGGGCAATCCTGGCAGCCACCCTGAGGCCCAGATTATTCCACTCTATAGAAGAGTGGCCCAGGAAGACCGTCTGTTGCTCTAGTCTGCACAGATCTGTGCACGCTGCTGTGCCTAGGACTCGGGCCTTCTGACATCAAGTTCAGCCCTTTTTCCATGCTCAACAAGTATTTTTGGATGCCAGCTAGTGCCAGGCACAGCCCCACAGGCTGAGAACACTTGAGAGGCAAGATACTATCTCTGCTTTCCAGGAACTGACCCGCCCATACAGCCTGTAAAGATATGATGTGGAAATAACTTTCGTTTTGGATGGGAGTGCGTGCTGTTGGCACAGTAAACTGAGCCTGGATCCAAGCAAACCGGGGTAGAAGTTGGGGTATCGCTTTATAATTGAGCCAGCAAGGGAATCACTGAACATGTAACATTTGCAAAACCTGAAGAAAGAAAGAAAGCCATGGTGACATTTGGAAAAAGAGCCAGTCAAGGAGAGAACCAGAAGGTTCTAAGGACCAGGGCTGGGTGTAAGCAGTTCACACTGTACTTGTCCTTACAGCGTGGACACTTCCATCCAAAGGGACAACTAGTTTCCATAGATGGTTACCAGTGGCTCCAGCAAGAAGTCAGACACACAGCCAGGTGTGACTGTCACACACCAAGTCCCACCATGGTAAGAGCACAACTATTAGGTCAGGGCTGGATGAGTCAAAGATGCAGGTCAGAGAGGAAGGGGGCGAGGAATCAGGGCTGGAAGATGAAAAAACTTGATATATGAAGATGAGAAGATATCTTGAAGATATCAGGGCTCGGGTTGCAAAAGGCTCCAATGGCCTGCTTCGGACTGTGGGGCCTACTCTGTGAGTGGGGAGCCCGGAGGAATGTTTCTTCGAGTGACTCAAGGACTGACTCTCATGTGCAGATATGAGCATCCTGACTGACTTCCACAGTCAAACCCAGTTAACCACAGTAGGCTGACGGGTGGGAGACAAGCACCAGGAACTTTCTAAGGAGGCCATTTATTTCCCTGAAGATCTGAATAATAGGACCCCTGTCTTATCTTCTTTCTTGCCTTTCTTATATTTCCACCATTGTTTCATTACGAAAGCAACATAAAGTAAAAGATAAGGCTAAACTCAGCGGTACATTCCTATAATCCCAGAACTTGGGTGACAGAGGACAGAAGATCACATGTTCAAGGCCAGCCTGAGTTACTTATTGAGATCTTGTCTCCAAAATCGAGCATATAGGGCTGGGAAACCACTCAGTCGGCAAAGCGCCTGTATCATAATCGTGAGGTCCTGAGTTCAGATCCCCAGCGGGCATGTTAAAGCTGGGGGTGGGGGCACATGTGTGTAACCACCGCACCTGGAAACAGAGACGGAGAGGCAGGGAGGTCCCTGAAGCACATCAGCCATTAGTCTAACCAGCAAGGTCCAGGTTTATCGAGAGATGGTATCTCAATAAATAAGATGGAAAAAGATCAAGAAAGGCAACTGAAGTTGACCTCTGGTCTCCACAGGCATGTGTACAGACACAAGTGAGTACACATGCCTCACAAACCCAGGATTTCTAGAATAAACGAATAATCGTTATAAGTAGATGATAATCGACTTCAACAGTACCTAAAGGTGAAAGGTGAAAAGGAAATTGCCATTTCCCCCCTTCCTCGATTTTCTAGGGCTATTCACCAAAAGTCACCAGTATACACATTTATTTTATCATTCCAAAAATATTTTATGCTGTACTGTTTTATGTTACTGTGATTGAAACATGTGAGCGAGGTGACTTATGAAGGGAAGGGTGTGTGGGATCATGACTTCAGAGGTTGCACAGTCCCTCACAGCGTGGAAGGCATGGTGGAGTGGCTCCTTCTGTCATAGCAGGGGTGTGTGGTGGTGGCTGTCCACATCGTGGTGGGCCAAGAGATAGTCAGCTTGCGCATCGTGGATTCAGATGCTGATTTCTGTGCGATGAGATCTGGCTGCAGTCTGGACATGAGCATTGTCACTTCTAAGAAGACATCTCCTGTCTCAATGTTGTGTAAAAATTGTTCTCCATCATCTCTGATGCTTAACAAAGAAGGTAATGAGAGGAGAGGAAGTAGGACTTTTGTTCCCAGTGAGGGGAGTCTCAGGTAGAGACCAGAGGGGAGGAGAAGAAGGTTAAGGAGAAAGTTGCCAGGAGGAGGTCACAGGAGGACAAAGGTGAAGCAGAAGCAGCCAGGTAGAGACTAAGATGGCAAGTAGCATGCACACATGGCTGAGAAGTAGCCAGGCTAGTAACGACAGGTTAGATTAGTGAATATCTCCCAGATTTAGTGCTTTAAAGCTTATTAACAAATTTAGTATGTCTTTGTGTCATTATCTGGGAGCTAGAATGGATAGCAGGAAAAACTTTTCTATTATTTTACAGTCAGCAGATTCAGAGGCTAGATGGTCACCTTCAAAAGCTTGCCCCTGGGGCCGGGGAGATGCCTCAGCGGGTACAGTGTTTGCTGCGCAAACATGGGGAACTGAGTTTAGACTCCCAGCACCCGCAGAAAAAGCTGGGTGTGGCAGTGCACAATTGTAATCCCGGCGCTCGATGGTGGAGACCTGAGCCCAGAGGCTTGCTGGCTAGCCAGTCCAGTCAATTGGTGAGTTCCTGCTTCAGTGAGAGACCCTGTCTCAGAAACAGCAGCTGGAGTGGCTGCTGAGATGGCTCAGTAACTAACTACACCTGCTGCCAAGCCTGACCTGAGTTCAGTCCCCGGGACACGTATAATGAAAGGAGAGAACCAACGACTAAAAGTGTCCTCTGGCCTCTACGTTTGCACACACACAAACACACACAATAAATGAATATGTCAGGTATGGTGGTGCATGCCTGTACTCTGAGCACTGAGAAGGAGGCAGAGGCAGACAGCTCTCTGTGAGTTTGAGCCCAGCCTGGTCTACCTAGAGAGGTCCAGGACAGCCAAGGCTATATAGTGAGACCCTGTATCAAAAACATCATCAACAAGATAATAATAATAATAATAATAAATACAGTGGAGAGCCACGTAAGAAGACATTCAACATTGACCTCTGGCTGTCACACACCCACACGTAGTACATGCCTATAATCCCAACACATGGTACATACACCACACACACACACACACACAAATGAGCCAAAGAAAAACAGTGCCAGCCTGTAGCTGGATGTGGTGATGCATGCCTATAATCTCAGCTCTGGAGTGACAAGAAGGCTCAGGAGTTCAAAGCCATAGAAAGTTTGTGGCCAGCACAAAACAAACAAACAAAAGAATGGGCCCCTAGTGACCTCCTTCCTCTCGCCAGGGCTCATCTAAGGGTCCACAGCATCCTTAAATATTGCCATGCTCTGGGAAACAAATATCCAAAACACAAGGCCGTAGGGAACATTCCCAGTTAAAACCATGAATACTGGCACACAGGTGCAGATGTTGATCGAGAGACTGTTTGCAAGCAGCTCGATGAAGCCGAAAGGGGATTTAGTCCAAGACTGTTTTTACAGAACCTGGAAGGGCCCACGTTTTGGAGAGCTCAGCTGTGTCATTCTGGGATGGAGTCTGTTCAGGTCCCTTTTGGTGTCACTGGCTTCAGGTTGACACCCTGGCATGGTGGTATCTGACGCATCCTGGGTCACATGCTGTTCTTGACAAGACTAGGAGGAGGGTTAGGCAAGTGGTGGTTTTTCTGCATCTGTGGTGGGAGGTGGCCTCGGTCCACAAAGAAGGGGCCTCCCCAGCCTGGGGAGATGTTTCAGAGGCGTTGACATATCAACTAACGAATGTCCACTGCAAGCTAGGCCTTCTAGGCTCTTTCTCAGGGATTCGTCCTGACTGACGCAATCCCTAGGGGTCAGCGGTTAGTACACGGTCCAGACATGCTAAGTGGCTCAGCCTGGGGCGCTTACTGAAGCCAAAGAGGCACCCCCTCGGAAGGCTGTCAGTTGTCACACTGAAATTACCCTGCCAGTACCTGAAGCCTGACTGCTTGCAAGCAAGGCTGCCACAAAGAGCCCCAGAGTGGTGGCAGAAAG